CTCCCTCAGTACTGACCCTCTGACAGTGCGGCACTCCCTCAGTACTGTCCCTCTGACAGTGCAGCACTGACCCTCCGACATTGTGGCCCTCCGTCAGTACTGACCTGATGCCCAGGGGAGAGGATGAGGAAATGTTTGGGGAAGGTTTTATCTGTTTGCATGCTCACGTTATTGTGTGCTTTCAGTCTGAGGTGATCCCAATGCTGCCCGATCATCGCAAATGGACCCAGAAACACATCAAGGCTGTTGTGAATATTCCTCAGTCTGTCGCACTAACCCCGCCACAGGAAAACACAGAATGCATGGATGTTGATGCAAGAGGTCCAGGTACGTAGACATAGGCCAATTTCCTAGGTCCCGAGTTCCTTGGCGACAGGACCTACTTCCCATTTTCCATGGAAACACGGTCTCGGGTCCCGTGGCAACAAGTTCTAGTCACGGGTTTCCTTGGCAACGTGGCATACTCCCGGCTTTCAGGCACCGTGACCCAGTTCCCACGGCGACCTGGCCAACTCCCAGTTCCCATGGTAACCCGTTACCTACTCCCAGCTTGCATGGCTCCATGAGTTACCCCCGGCTTCCATGGCAACGTGGCTTACTCTTGGGTACAACGACGGTTTGGAGACCCCTGACGCATTTGCAGGTTCCATGGCAACGCGATGTGTCACCGGGCCTGCCACCTCCCAGGAATGGCCAATGGGCCTGGTTTTCCTTTGTTCCGGGCTGGCTGGGTGAGGGTCTTCACTGAAGATGGAACAGTGCAACGGAGACCTGCTTCCTCTCCATCTCATCCTCGTTTCCTGTGTCTCTCTCTCCCTCGTTCTTCATCCCCTCCACACTCTGTCTCTCTCTCTCTCCCTCTTTCTCCCCCCTCCACACTCTGTCTCTCTCTCTCTCCCCCTTTCCCCTTCTCTCTGTCTCTCTCTCTCCCACTCCACACTCTGTCTCTCTCTCTCCCCCTCCCCCTCCCTCCACACTCTCTCTGTCTCTCCCTCTGTCTCTCTCTCCCTCTACACCTCTCTCCCTCTCTCCCCCACTCCCTCCACACTCACTCTCCCTCTCTCCCCGCCTCCCTCCACACTCTCTCTCTCCCTCCTCTATCCCTTCCCCTCCCTCTCTCCCTACCCCTCCCTCTCTCCCTCTCCCTCCCTCTCTCTCCCTCTCCCTCCCTCTCTCTCTCTCTCTGCCTCCCACACTCTCCCTCTCTCCCTGTCGGTGATGGTTGTGAGTTCTCCCGTATCCCGTTGTTGCTTTCAGACGGAGTGACCCCATTGATGTTGCCGGCCTGCGCTGGCGGGGGTCTGGGATCCGGCCTGTCCGAGGCGGAGACCCCGGGAGGCTCGGCCAGCGTCATCGCGGACCTGATCGGCCAGGGAGCGAGCCTACAGCTCCAGACGGATGTGACTGGAGAGACGGCGCTGCACCTGGCTGCTCGCTTCTGCCGAGCAGACGCCGCCAGGTGCATGCTGGACATGGGGGCGGACACCAACGCTCAGGACAGATCAGGGCGTACGCCATTACACACTGCTGTGGCAGCTGACGCGTTGGGAGTCTTCCAGGTACACCGCACCGCACAGCCGGCACGGCAACAAAACCCTTCAGCGCTCTCCTCTCCATGCTGCATCTCGCTGTGCCCCATCGCGGAGTCCTGCCCGCTTCGTCAATTTACCACAACACACCTCCCGATGCGGGGCCCGGCCCTTCGGCATCGCGTGCTCGCAGGGCCGGCCCCCACTCCCTCTTGCTCCTGTCAAAAAAAAACCCCATCAGCCCCACGTCGACTCCCCTCGGCGCTCACCCAAGCCGGAGACAGCAAGTGGGCATCGTTTCCCAGGCCAGCGTTCATTTTGCCCCGTCCCTATATTGCCCAGAGGGTAGCTCCGAGTCAACCACATCGCTGTGGGTCTGGAGTCGCAAGTAGGCCAGACCGGGTAAGAATGGCAGTTTCCTTCCCTAAAGGACATTAGTGAACCAGATGGGGTTTTTGCTGACCATTGACTATGGCTTCAGAGTCATCATTAGATTTTTATTTCCCAATTTTCACTAAATTTGCATTCCACAATTGTGGGATTTGAACATTACCTGCATCAATCATTAGTCTGGCAATAATACCTCTAGGTCATCATAAAAGAGTGAGTTATGATCTGGAATTGACTGAGTACAAGTCAGGAGTGTGATGGAACACTCCCCACTTGCCCTGGATGAGGGCAGCCCCAACAACACTCAAGAAGCCCGATACCATCCAGGACAAAGAAGCCCGCTTTATTGGTGCCATATCGAGAAACATCCCTAACCTTAATCATAACCCTCGCGCAGGTCACCATCACCTTCTCGAGGGCAACTAGGGATGGGCAATAAATGCTGGGCCCAGTCAGTGACACCCACATCCCATGGGTGAGTAAAAAGTTATTGCCCGCATAACTGATGCTCAGTCACAGCAGTGTGTACTATCCACAAGACGCACTGCAGAAATTCACCAAGGACCCTCAGACAGCACCTTCCAAACCCGCGACCACTTCCATCTAGAGGGACAAGGGCAGCGGATACACTGGGAACACCATCATCTGCAAGTTCCCCTTCCAAGCCACTCACCATCCAGACTTGGAAATATATCGCTGTTCCTTCACTGTCACTGGATTAACATCCAGGAGCCCCCTCCCTAATAGTCGCACGGATGTTCCGACATCGCAAACTGTAGCATTTCAAGTCAACCGCTCCCTCCCACTTCCTCCCAGGGATTGGGGATAAATACTAGCCCAGCCAGTGACGTTCTTAGTTGGGGTTAACTGAACACGGTCGTGAGGGATGGAGTGGCTGTACAGTTCCACCTATAGGCTGCATCCTGAAATGACAGCGTTACAGGGTGTGTGTTTACATAGGGATATCCAGCTGGTAACATGGGCATTCCCAAGGTTGGTGGAGAAGCCCCTGACCAACAGGTTTGACAACAGGGATGGCAGGGGTGGGGGGTGGGGGGTGGTGGGAAGGGGGTATAATTTAACAGGAGGTGGGCACAGTATTGAAATACTTCACTGTATCGTGGGAGACGGATAGATCACTCCCTGAACGAGCTATGCCCTGTGAGTGGCCATATTTAACCCGTCCTCTTCCCCACCACCCCCCCCCACAGATTCTCCTGCGCAACAGGTCGACGGACGTGGATGCGCGGATGCACGATGGGACCACGCCGCTGATCCTCGCGGCTCGTCTCGCAATCGACAACATGGTGGAGGAGCTCATCAACTGCAACGCAGACGTCAGTGCTACAGACAACCACGGTACTCGGGGATACAGGGATATGGGGCTCGGGGCTCAGGGGGGTATGGGGTTCAGGGGTACGTGGCTTGGCACTCCCTCAGTACTGACCCTCTGACAGTGCGGCACTCCCTCAGCAATGACCCTCTGACAGTGCGGCAATCCCTCAGTACTGACCCTCTGAAAGTGCGGCGCTCCCTCAGCACTGACCCTCTGACAGTGCGGCGCTCCCTCAGCACTGACCCTCTGACAGTGCGGCGCTCCCTCAGCACTGACCCTCTGACAGTGCGGCACTCCCTCAGTACTGACCCTCTGACAGTGCGGCACTCCCTCAGTACTGACCCTCTGACAGTGCGGCACTCCCTCAGTACTGACCCTCTAACAGTGCGGCACTCCCTCAGTACTGACCCTCTGACAGTGCGGCACTCCCTCAGTACTGACCCTCCGACAGTGCGACACTCCCTCAGTGCTGACCCTCTGACAGTGCGGCACTCTCTCAGTACTGACCCTCTGACGGTGGGCTGTGTTAAGGAACAACACGTCAATGTCAGGATATCAATGGCATGTTGTCAGTGAAGAATGAGCTTTAGTGCAGTAGGAGCTGATGGTTGTGATCTGACTGTGTTCCCTCAGGTAAATCAGCTCTACACTGGGCTGCTGCTGTGAACAATGTGGACACAGTGATGGTTCTGCTGCGAAATGGAGCCAACAAGGACCTGCAGGACCATAAGGTAAAGTCAGAGGAAGTATCCCTCCTGGGGACAGACCTACACCAGGGAATGTCAATGCATAGACCATGCTGTGTGAGGGACTGTTTTTCTGCAACTAAATTGGGAATATCGAGACCTAATGTGACTCTGTTCCTGGGAGTGTTTGATGGGGACAGTGTAGAGGGAGCTTTACTCTGTATCTAACCCCGTGCTGT